CGCGCGGCGCGGCGCCCCGCCGCTCCCTGCCCGCCAGCTGCCCGCTGAGCGGCCGCGCCTCGCCCACGGAACTTCGCGCGGGGTCCCGCTGCCGGGGAGCCGCAGGAAGGCGGCGGAGGGGAGGGGAGCCAGCGTGCAGGAAAAGGAAGGAAACGCAAAAAGAAGTAACAGAGAGATATATAAATATATATCTACTTACCTGGAGGATGCCGGAACGGGGCCCGAGGGCTCCTGCCGAGCGCCGCCTYGCTGCTGCTAGAGCGTCGTAGGGGCGAAGGCGGGCGCCTGGCGTGCTCGTTCCCCGCAGCRGCGGCCGCCCCGGCGCCCAGAGCCTCTCTTGACTCCCGGCGTTTAATGGAATGATGTTGCGGAAAAGGCAGAGCGATCGTGCCGGGCTCAGTCGGGACTGCTCGGGCGGCGGCGGCAGAGGCGGTGGCAGCGGGCTCGCGAGCGGCATGCGAGTGCCCCCCCGGCGCTATGGCTAGTGGTGGCTCTGGCAAGTCCACCAGCGAGGTGTCCGGCGGCGGCATCCCCAGCAGCAGCGCCCTGCAGAGGAAGAAGCTCATCTCGATCTGCGACCACTGCAAAATCAAGATGCAACTGGTGGCTGATCTGCTCCTGCTGTCGAGCGAGACCAGGCCGGTGAACACCGAGAGCTTGTCTGTCTTCGGGGAGTCCTTCGAGAAGTGCAGGGACACGATCATTGCCAGGACCAAAGGACTCTCCATCCTGACCCATGACGTCCAGAGACAGCTCAACATGGGGCGATTCGGAGAGGTGGGAGACAGCCTGATGGAGATGGGGGAGCTGGTGGTCTCCCTGACGGAGTGCTCTGCGCACGCTGCCTACCTGGCTGCCGTGGAGACTCCGGGGGCCCAGCCCGCTTTGCCTGGCTTGGTGGATCGCTACAAGGTGACCCGCTGTAGGCACGAGGTGGAGCATGGCTGCGGCGTCCTCAAGACCACCCCTTTGGCAGATATGAGCCCACAGCTCCTGCTGGAGGTTTCCCAGAACATGTCCAAGAACTTGAAATTCCTTACAGATGCCTGCGTGCTGGCCAGTGAGAAATCCAAGGATAAATTTGCCAAGGAGCAGTTCAAACTCAGTGTCAAGTGCATGAGCACCAGCGCCTCTGCCCTCTTGGCGTGTGTCAAGGAGGTTAAGACTTCACCCAGCGAACTGACAAGGAACCGGTGCGTCTTGTTCAGTGGACCTTTGGTGCAGTCTGTCTATGCTCTGGTGGGCTTTGCCACTGAGCCCCAGTTTTTGGGTAAAGCTGCCACCATTAATCCAGAGGGCAAAGCTGTGCAAACCGCCATCCTAGGAGGAGCCATGAGTGTGGTATCTGCTTGTGTGCTCCTGACCCAATGCCTCAGGGATATAGCCCAACACCCCGAAAGTAGCACCAAAATGAGCGATTACAGGGAAAGGTTGAGGAACTCGGCTTGCGCCGTCTCTGATGGTTGCAACCTGCTATCTCAGGCACTAAGAGAAAGATCTTCACCCAGGACTTTACCGCCAGTGAACTCCAATTCTGTGAATTAACCCCCACACCTTCTGTTTAGATCCCAGTCACTGCTAAAGGAAAATAATATCCCACCTCCTCACCCTTTTTGGTATACCAAAGAATTTGCCTGGATGAGCCCAATCCTTTGATTTCATGTGGTGAAGAAGCAGAGCAGCGCGTTCAAACTATACGTACTAATAAAGGTAGCCAGTTTTGGCTTCATTCTATTTTATTTTAAAGTCAAGCGAGTATCTGCAGATAAATTTTTCTTTACTCAACGAATCTGCACACAAACAAATGGTAATAGCAAATGTTGAGAAGTTTTATATTAGGGAGGTGGGGGTATCTTAAAAAGAAAAAAAAAAAAGCTTTAATCGCGCTGGGTGCGGTTTTTAAAGTCTGTCTTGTCTTGTCTTCCGAAATTTCCCTTCTAAATTTTACTGTTCAGTTGTGCAGGAAAAAGGTTACCTCAGTTCTCACTCATTGAAAAAAAATGAAAAGACCCAACAACACAGAGATGATGGATGTAGCTACTATTTTGTTTGGTTTTGTTTTGTATGTTTTTTTT